CAATATTATTACACGAAAGTGTATACGATATTTTGTGGTGTGAGCTATGAAACCTGTGGGATGAATCCATACCTCTTAGGTGCTTTAGGCAACCAGGAGGGAGATAAGGGGGAATGGATTCAGGATATTATTAATGCCTCTTTGATACAGGAAGTAAGTGAAAGAGGGGTTAGGTTGCCTGTTCTTAAGATGACTCTCAACCAGTCATATTGTTCAACAACTTTTAGGGGAAGATTTTGATGGTACTTCAATTGCAAATTGTTCTAGGTAAAGTGGACTGACTGGATCACTTAGAATCAAGATTCAGACTTGGACATGAGATTAAGACTGTTCTGGCTGGTGAACTTGTACAAACTTCAATGAAGAGAGCACACCTGCCTAACTCCTATTAGGTAGAACTTTTAATGCTAGGAATTAGTCTGAGTCTTCAGATTCAGAAGCTGAAGAGCTCAACCACTGACCCTAAGGCTACACTGCCTATAGGGATTAGCTGAAGAGATTACTAAGAAATCACAGTGCAGCTGAGTCAGCTGCTCCAGAGCCTGAGTTAGGTAAACTCCTAAACCCAGCAATGCATCCCAAATTGCGAAGAGAAGGCCAAATGAAGTCACGCCACACTGAAAGAAAGAAGCATGGCTCAGCAAATTAATCAAGATGATAGTAAGGGCTATGGAAAGGAAACTTGACAATTACCAAATCAATCTGCATGCATGTGATCATATATCAATGCTTCTTTAGATTGTCTGGATGAATTTAAAAACCTGCTCATTCTAGGACCACTTCTGAATTGGCCTCCACCCCACCCCTCTGGACTACTGTTAGTTGTTATGTTTTCATTCCCTAAGCCTAAAGTCTGCTGATTGCAATGTGTTTATGCCACTACAGTTAAGGATTTATGACTACAATAAAGACCTTGAGTTTGTATCAAAGCTGGCTATATGTGTGCAGTTGGCAGCACAAGATAGATGGAAAGTAAGTCCTTTAATTGCAGTCATTGACAATTGAAAACACAGCATTTCATCTGATCATACAAATTGTACAATGTAGAATGTAACAGCACCATTTCAAAAATGCCCTGCTGTAGTGCCTGAAAATACTTTAGCCTTTTTAGCCCAGTGCAATTTGTATATGGGTTTTTGCATTGAAAACCTCCCATACACCATTTTCAAGCCAATTTTGTTTTTACTATCTAGTTCAGTAACAAAAAGGGTTACACCTCCATCGTTTCCTTGTTTAATTATAGTGAGATTATCAACCATTTCAAGTTGAAATAAACACTGGGCTGTAACAGGGAAGTTGCTCAGTCATTATGCAAATGACTGTAACATCCTCTCACAAGAATTGAAGTGGAATGAGATAGCTGAGATGAACTAGTTGCAGAAAAGATTGACAGACAGGATCCTGACTGAGTTGGCCCGAGTAAAGTGCCCGATCTCTCTGCAGGACCTGATTCACTTATACCTGTGTATTGATGGATGCTTCCAACAATATAGAGGACTAGCGGAATACCTGCGGTCTGCTACGAAACTATGTGATCGGGCTTGATAAATTGACACAGGTTGAAAATTAGTGAGTAGTTACCATCAACCTCTCCTCTCCCCTTCTCTCCCTCAGGCTTGCCCCACAGAATCCTCTCCTATCCTATCCCCTTCTCTCTCTCAGCCTGGCCCCACAGAAGCCTCTTTTTCTCTCCTATCCCATTCTCTCCCTCAGGCTTCTCCCACAGAAGCCCCACCTATCTTATCACTTTCTCTCCCTCAGGTTTGCCCCACAGAAGCCCTACTTATCACCTTCTCTCCCTCAGGCTCCTCTCCAAACTCCCAGCCAGCAGGCCGGGTGAGTCATACACTGGCCACACCCATGTCCAGGTTTTCAGGTTGGGAGGGGGGAATAGAATATCTAACTCAGGGGTCCTCAAACTTTTTCAACAGGGGGGGCAATTCACGGTTCCTCAGACTGTTGGGGGTCTGGACTGGCTGGGTGTGCGTGGCTAGGTCATGTGACTAGGTGGGCATGGACAATTTAACAATCCACTGAACAATGCACACAAATTAAACTTTAGTTTGTTTTGCTCCAGGGGGTGTTTTATTTGCTTTTGTTTGCATACTGCTCTTTTGGTTGCCTTTTCTTTTTACTAGATCATTTTTTCAGTTGTTCAGGAGTCTAGTGGTCCTATTCGGAAACTCAGTTTTGCAGCAATTCTTCTCAGCCCAAGGAGCTTGAGAAATCTCTCTCTCTTTCTCTCTCTCCCTTCTCCCTCCCTCCCCCCTCTTTCTGTCTGTCTGTCTGTTTGTCTCTCTCCCCCCTCTCTCTTTATCTTGTGGAGGTGAGGGAGGTAAAGAGCAGGCTGTTTTCGCCAGACTTTTAGCCTCCTGGGGCGTCTGCGCCCTGTTTTTCACCCCCCTCACCTCCAGAAAATGTCTGCAGGCCAAATTTGTTGGTCTTAGCTTTCCGTTCCAGACCGTGGGGCTCGGAAGGTAAGTCCTGTGCTTGGCCAAAGTGTGGGCAGGGCAGTCTCCTGGTCCTGCGTGGGCCTGATTAATGGCTTTTCAGAACTCTCAACTTCTTCATCCTACCATCTCTGAAAAAGTACACCATCCAGATGATAAACCTCAGGCAGAAAGGTTTCCAAGATTTAAATGACTCCTTCTCCACCCAGGCTATATTCTAACATCCTAGCCCTCCTGAACTATTTGCAATGGAAACTAATAATTCTGATACCACAATAAATGTTATTTCAACTAGAAGAGAATAGCACTATATCATCTGGGATGAGAAACTCTTAGCTATGTAGGTAGCCTTTGTAACTTGGAGGCATTTACTGGAAGAAGCTCAAAACCCTGTTGAAGTTGGAACGGATCATTGTAAACTGGAATACTTAGAAGCAACTCAGAAGTGCTACTAGCTGTTGTCAGAGACCAACCAAGGAAATGCACATAGCTTTTATTTCTACTACCTAGACCCCAGAAAAGTGTATCTGTTCTTCATTATTGACTTATCAAACCCAAAGATGTTGAACAAAAGTGTTGATACTTTTTCTAAAATGGTACACTTTAATACCTTATTCATACTTACCAACAAATTAATTCAATTGTTCCTGAACCACATCCCCTATATTTATGCATTGCATAAACATTTTATTTTGGAGCATGAAATTCCATTCACATGAGAACTAGTTTGGTGTAATGGTTAAAGGCACTGACTAGACATCCAGGAGATTCTGTGCTTCAGTCCTGCCTCAGGCATGATCTGGGTAACTTTTGATCACACATTCAGTGCTAGAAGGCTGGAAAGACTGCTTGTTCTATGCCAAGTTTTTGATACAAACTTAAAGTCAAGCTTTATTATGGAACATAAGCCAAAATCCAGTACATGGTAAAAAGGCTGCAGCCATGCATAAACTACTTTGCTATTAACAATATGAAATTCTACGGGCTACAAATGTAAATGTAGCATACATCCACAGAAATAACATCTTATTTTGCAAACTGGCTAAACTACTTTTTTATCATTTGCCTACTTTAAATGCCAGCCTTCGAATCTACACAACTGGTGCTTAAGGATCAGACAAGGAAATGTGCAAACATTTTGCTGACTGACTCAACTTTGTCCTGCTCTTTCAGCTGGTCTGGTTATCATCAGATACTATAAGTAATTGGTCTGGATCTGAAGGAACAGGTCTATGACTTGAGGGGTTTCCTAAACTCACAACCCTATGCTTGAGTAAAAATAAAGGCACCATGGTCATGGGAGTCTATGCCCAGCTTTGACTGGCACTTCTGTTGTGGTAGCTTCTGAGTTATGAAGCCCTTAACCTGATTCTTCTGCCCCCATAATGCTGTATTTAGACTATTACAATGGGTCTGTGTTTGGAGATAATTCAGAAACTGCAGTTGGCTGAAAACATAGCTGCTGGCGAAATCTAGCAATTTAGGACTATAACGTCTGATGCTTTCATAACTTCAGTGGTTACTAGTAGACTTCCAGTTCCAATGCATACTTCAGTATTCAGCCTATAATCGTGATGGTGAACCTATGGCACACAGAACCAGCTCTCCAGGCACGCCAGCCGTCACCTGTTGCTCTTCCGGGTTCCGGCATACACATGTGCACCAGCCAGCTGGTCTTTGAGCATATGGGAGTGCCGTAAACCAGAAAGGCAGCTCCCTGGCATGCATGCGTGCACCTGGAACCAAAAGATCAAGTGACCGGCGCACATGGGCACACCAGAAACCGGAAGCTCAGATTCCCAGCGCATTCATGTATGGTGGGAAACTGCTCTTCTGGTTTCTGGTGCTCTTGTGTGCATGCACACCTGCTCCTGTTTTGGCCCTCGGTGCCAAAAAGGTTTGCCAACACTGGCCTATAAAATCACAGCCATCTATTATAGCAAGAATCGAACCATTCTGTCTATTCATCCCAGGAATACATGTTTACAGTCTACAAGAATTAAAGAGAGGTGATGTAGGAGCTGACCAGGTTGAGCCCGAAGGAGAGGTCAAACATGTCACCAATCTTGAATCCCTTCATCCCTACCAGTGATCTAAGTCCAGTCCACCTTGAAATCTATTGACTCTTATCTACCGCTAGTTTGCTTTGACTGATAGTAGTTCAGATTCTTGTAGAGAGCATTAGCATATAATAAACCATTTTAACTGCTTGGATTCCTGATTTCCTGCATTTGACAAGCAGTCCTTTTTGATCATGGCAGTTCCAAGGTTATGGAACAGCTTTCGTTCACAAAGCCATTCATGATGATATTGGACTGTCTTTTCTGAGAAGGGTATGTTTTAATGTTTTGCTGGTTTTCAGTCAACAGTTTTCAGTTAATGTGATTTTTGTTTTGTTTTGTGGGTCTCAGGTGGTTTTGAATATTATATTTTCATTATTACTTTTAAAACTATCTGTAGTATTTTGGAATTGGGTGATATTCAAATCTTTGTAATAATCACAAATGAATATATCGTATTCAACTAATTATTTGCTTTCTTATATTTTAGGAGGTTGAAACTGAGCAGTACTACAGTTTTTTCCTAGCAGAATTGAAAGAACGTGGGTACAATGGATTCTTTAGTCCAAAATCCCGGGCTAGAACAATGTCTGAACAAGAGAGAAAGCATGTTGATGGTTGTGCAATATTTTTTAAGACAGAAAAGTAAGCAAACACTTTTTCCCTGGATAACATGCATTAACTTGCATAACAAAATCAGTTTTCCCCCCTGCAACAAAAACTATTGCTTTAGCTTTAGTTACTCTACTAAAAAAAAGGTCTTTTTATAAGTTACTGGTTTAAGAATCTTATAATATCTCAGCTGTTAACAGCAAAACTGTTCATTAATGAGGTATGAAGAAAGGGGACTTTGGATTTTAAAGTATGGATGTGAAATACATTTCAAACTGAGTTACCTCAAATCTGAAACACTCATGTTGGATGCAAAATGGCCCACATAAGGTTGTAAAATACCTGCTTCAGGTATGAGATGGGCAGTTTCAAGTGTTTGGGGAATGTTACAAACGAGAACGGAATTAATTTGAGCTCAAAAAACTTCAGAGCTATATAAAACAACCTGCTTTCCATTCAAGATGGAGCACGTCATATTTTAATGAGATGTTTGGCAGTTGAAACTATTGGAGTCAAATATTTTGCACACCAGTTTCTTCAGCATTTTTTTCATAATAGCAAGGAGATTTGATTGCTATTGAAGAATCAGTATTGATTCCCCCCCCTCCTCGATTCAGATGTTTAGAATTGTTGAAAGCAGTTTTTTGTTTTCTTTGTAGTTTGTGTGTGACATGAAATGCGTATTCGTTGCTGAAAGAATATGAATGTTCATCTTATATATCCTATGTTGAAGTTACACCATAAAAGTGCTGGTGTAGCATTGAAACTTTGACGAAGCTATGAATTGAGACATCTTTGTTTGCCACTTTAAATTATTTGTAAATGTATTTATAAAATTAATAAAGGTGGGATACAAACAAATAAATATAAAAACTCTCCACCATAAGATTGCCAGGCAATCTTAAGCAATTGTCTTCTCTCACTTTTTTTAATCTCTCCAGGCACAATATGAGACATGATGCTTAAACAGTTTTTAACTTACTGTCAATTTTAATAAAAACCTAGTGTGGTATACAGGTAGTCCTTGCCTTACGACCACAATTGAGCCCAAAATTTCTGTTTCTAAGTGAGACATTTGTTAAGTGAATTTTGCCCCATTTTATGAGCTTACTTGCCACATTTAATCACTGCAGTTGTTAAGTGAATCTGGCTTCCCTCTTTGCTTGTCAGAAGGTCTTAAAAGACTGTGGGACACTACAATCATCATAAATATATGCCAGTTGCCAAGCAGTTCAATTTTGATCATATGACCGTGGGAAGCGGCAACGGTCATAGGTGTGAAAAATGGTTATAACTCACTTTTTCAGTGCCATTGTAACTTTGGTCACTAAGTGAACTGTTGTAACTCGAGGACTACCTGTACTGGTTAAAGTATACCAAATCAGGATTTGGAAGATCCAGTGAAGTCCATCCTTAGCCCTGGAGTGGTGGTTTTGGGCCAGTCACATTGTCTCATTCCATTCTATTGAAAGGTTGTGATTGTTGTTGGAAAAATTATGTAGGAAATGTTGTGTTTGCTACTTTGAGGTCAAAAGGCAGCCTATGAATCTAATAAATAAATAAGCTGTATGAAATACTCTTTATATTTAAATGCTATCTGTTTTGGCAAAATGCAACAGATTATAAAAAGAACTTTTTACGTCAATACATTTCCAAATCACTAATTTATATTCTACCTTGGTTATGAAGCTATTAATATACTGAATCTTAAGTGAATTAATATATTGAGTTCATACTGCTGCATTATATAGTACTGAAGCACTAGCATTGACTAATTTTTTGAAGGATTCACTAAAATAATTCTGTTAACATTTTAAAATTCACTTGGTTCTCAAATGAACAATTCAAGGTAACATGCAAAATGAAGTGCTTCTATTTTTAAAGAAGACTATATATACATCAGCTATTACAATTAATTATAACAATTATAAATATAGCATTTTTTTAGTTTGGACTAGACTACAATTTAGTTTGGTCTTTTTTTGGTAGGAATAAGTAAATTAGCGTCTTCTTCAACTCCTGATGATTTCATATGTCTATCCAAGTTGTTTTCTTGGCAACAGTATGGAACTGGTTTGTCAGTACACTACTTGTTTTTGTTTTTTACTTTATTAACTTTATTAAAATTGAGCACAACCCCAGACTTCCTTGGAGTGAGGCTATTTATTGGCATAAAACTCCTTTAAAAATTTATATAGATTGAAAATGAATGCTAGCAGCCAAATGCTGACATCTCAGTGCATATGTTGGTAACCTGGTTATTTGTTTCATTCTGCCAATGAATCGCTCTTTTTTGCCTACTCAGTAATTCAGCCTGAGGTACCTTTACTTATATATGGCGTAAGCTATCACTTCATTGCTCTATCTATATTAAATACATCTAACTTCATTGACTTCATTGCATCGTCTGTATTAAATAGATACTGCATTTCACTATATCTTTTCTATATTTTAAAAATCCTGTTCTTAAGTAAATAAGATGCATCTTGTGTGTGTGTGTGTGTGTGTGTGTGTGTGTGTGTGTGTGTGTGTGTGTATACATATAAAATGAGAAATGACATCTTTGTTTCTGCCGTGTTCTTTTAAGGTTCACCTTGGTTCAAAAA